CACCACCCCCCCCCGGCAGTGCACAAATTTTTGTGCACCGGGCCTCTAGTACATATATAACAATCTAAAGATAAACTAGCAAAGAACAGTACTAGTTCTAATCTAGAGGCTAAATGTGAATATTCACAAAGAAATTATTCCTAACTTCTAAAACTTCATCAATCAAGAAATCTACATAATTCTACTATGTACTTTTATAATCTTCTTATATTAAGTTCTACCCTTGTGTTATATGCAATTAAGTGTAGTAAAAATAAACTGTAATATACTTAGGCACATTCTCATGAAATTTAAATAGAACTTTACACTAGATAAAAAAGGTAGAGAACCATTCATTAAAGGTGCATTTTATTAAGTAGCAGGTCATTCTTCTCTTTTATTTACTAGGTTAACAAATAGAATCATTATTGTAAGCATTTTAAAATATAGGTCCACAATCCCTTATTAAAAAACCTGGAACTCCTACATCTCTGAAAACTTAAACAAATTTTTTTTCACAATTCATTTGAGGGTACTCTAACCAATATGAGGATATTTATAGTCCTTATTTATCCTATCCAGTGTAAATATTTGCTGAAATTTAATGTGCTTGATTATGACAGATATCCCTGGACTCTACTGAAATGTAAAATAATAGGGGCATATGTGACATATTTTCTTCTCAAAGGCATAAGAAATCTGAATATTAAAATACAACTAGCCCTGAGCTGGCTGGTATAGCTCAGTTGGTTGAGCCTCCTCCCATGTATCAATTCCTGGTCAGGGCACATGTCTGAGTTGCAGGCTCCATCCCCAATAGGGGGCATGCAGGAGGCACCAATAGATATTTTTCTCATATCAGTGTTTCTCTCAAATCAATAAAAACATTGACAAAAATATAACTAGCCCTAAGTGTGTGTGTGTGTTTTAATATATCTTTACTGATTTCAGAGAGGAAGGGAGAGAGAGAGACAGAAACACCAATGTGTTTCAAACTACAACCGCTTGGTTCATAGGCTGATGCTTAACCACTGAGCCACATCAGCCATGTCCTAAGTGTTTTTGATAATGGAGTGATGAACTGATGATTCTAAAACCATTCAAAATATTTTTCCTATTCTATATGTTACCTTTTCACTATGTTGTTTCTTTCTTTAAATTTTTTTTTTTTTTAAATTTTAGAGAGAGAGGAATGGAAAGGGAGAGACAGAGAAAAACATCAATATGAGAGAGAAACATCAATTGGATGCCACTTGTACGTGCCCCGATTAGGGATTGAATCTGCAACCTTGGCATTGTGCCCTGATTGGGAATGGAACCAGCGACCCTTTGGTGCACCCAATGATGCTCCAACCAACTGAGCCACATCATCCAGGGCACTTGGATTGTTTCTTTTACTGTTTCTTTTCAGTTTGATATAGTCCCATCTATTATTGCTTTTGTGCCTATGCTTTTGGTGTCATAACCAAGAAATCACCTCTTAGACTAATGTCATGAAGCATTTGCCTTAAGATTTCTTCTAGAAGTTTTATGGATTCGGGCTTTATTTTTAAATCTTTTTTTTTTTTTAAATATATTTTTATTGATTTTAGAGAGGAAGGAAGAGGGATAGAGAGACAGAAACATCAATGATGAGAGAGAATCATTGATTGGCTGCCTCCTGCACGCCCTCCACCAGGGAACGAGCCTGCAACCCAGGCATGTGCCCTTGGCCGGAATCAAACCTGGGACCCTTCAGTCCGCAGGTCGAAGCTCTATCCACTGAGCCAAACCAGCCAGGGCTATTTTTAAATCTTTACACCACATATCTGATAAAGAGATAACGTACAAAAAAATAAGGAACCCCTACAATTCAATAGCTAAAAACCAAATAACAGATCAAAAAATGGGCCTATGACTCAAGTAGACATTTCTCCAAAGAAGGCATACAATGAAAATGCTCAATATCTGTAATCATAGTAGAAATGCAAATCAAAACCACAAGATTATCTCCTCATACCATTATCAAGAGAACAAAAGATAAGTGCTAACAAGAATGTGGAGAAATTAGAATCCTTGCATGCTATTGGTGAAAATGTAAAATAATGCAGCTGCTATAGAAAACTGTATGAAGTTTCCTTAAGAAATTAAAAACAGAAATACAATATGATCCAGAAATCTCACTTCTGAGTATATATCCAGAAGAACCAAAATAAGTATATTGAAGAAATATCTGCACTCCCTTGTTCACTGCAGTACAATTCACAGTAGCTAAAATATGGAAACAACCTAAATTTCCATTAGCAAATGAATGGATAAAGAAAATGTGATAAACACAGAGAATGAAATATTATTCAATCTTAAAAAGGAAAGAAAATCCTGCCCTGTGAGATAACATGGATAAGCCTGGGGGATATTATGCTAGGTAAAATTAACTTCACAGAAGGACAAATACTGCATAATTCTAATTACATGATGTATCTAAACTAGTATAACCCACAGAAACAAAGTAAAATGGTAATTGCTGGGGGAAGGAAGAAATGGAAAGTTAGTGTTCAACAGGAATAAAGTTTCCGTTGTACAAAATGAATAAATTCTAAAGATCTGCTGTACAACAATGTGCCTATAGTTAATAACACTGTATTGTGAACTTAAAAAATTGTTTAGAGAATAGATCTTACCACAGTTTAAAAAACGTTTAAAAATATTTCTAATATTTTTCAGTCCTCATTTACTATTAAAAGCAATTCTTATACTCATGTATCTCTACTTGTGCTTTCATATTCTAACACGTTTTAATAAACAAAAATATTATTTTCACATCAAAATCATTGTGATAAAGAACATTTTTTTAAACAGACACTTGAGAAATATCAAAAGCCTGAAACAAAATATTAAAGAAAATGTTTAATAGTGATTTAACTGTATTAGACTATATAACATAACATTAATACTACACCTTATTCTATAAGAGATTTGAATTGGAAGCCTTTTTAGTAATAGCACATTACATGCAAATTTACATAACTTCTATACTGAGGAAAAATATTAAAATATAAAGAAGGTACGTACAACACACAATGAGATTCTTCTATCATTCTGGATTTCATTATCTCAAATCAAAGGCTTCTAAATCATGTAATATACCATAAAAAGTGGGAGCACTTACTTAGGAGTAGAAGGACCCCTTGGCCATGTTCCGTCTTCATTTTTCTGTTCTATCACTAACACCTACAAATATGACACAGTAAGAGTGTTTGTCTTAACCCCAATGTTAAAAATAGTTTTAAAAGATTAGCTGAACTCACTAAGAAACTAAAGTAACCCTTTGATTAATTAAAGCACACAGTATATAAGGTAAAGAGATATTTGTATTTTGATTCCAAAGCTAGGCAAAGGAGACAAAAATTTAAGAAACAAAATATAAAAACTAAGCAACTGAACACACACACATACACACACGAGAAAGATAAGGACCACTCATTTTGGGGAGCAAACTCTTCAATATATATTTGTTTCACTTCCTAACAAGGGTACTTTCAATTTTAGTAAAAAAATAAATTGCCGAAACCGGTTTGGCTCAGTGGACAGAGCGTCGGCCTGCAGACTGCAGGGTCCCTGGTTTGATTCCGGTCAAGGGCATGTACCTTGGTTGCGGGCATATCCCCAGTAGGGGGTGTGCAGGAGGCAGCTGATGGATGTTTCTCTCTCATCGATGTTTTTAACTCTCTACCCCTCTCCCCTCCTCTCTGGAAGGGAGAGAGAGAAAGAGATAAAAACATCAATGATGAGAGGGAATCACTGATTGGCTGCCTCCTGAACATTCCCTACTGGGGATTGAGCCTGCATCCTGGGCATGTGCCCTTGACCAGAACTGAACCTGTGACCCTTCAGTCCACAGGCCAACACTCTACCCACTGAGCCAAACCGGCTAGGGCTAAAATCTGGAAAATTTAATGCACATTTTTGGAAACATTCCTATTTCAAAATGTGATAAATGCATTCCTAGCAGTAAGATCAAATTATTTAAATTCTTGAAGCCTCAGTTTTTCTAACGTAATTAAAAAAATAATAGTCATTACACAGGACCAATCACTGAAAAGAGTTAACGAAATAAAACTATATATTTAAAATTGTCCCCCAGAGCTACCACAAGGCCTGCTGAATGGTAACCAAGGAGAGAGGTGGAGGTCTATTGGTAGACAAGAAAGAGAGTTGGCTGGTTTGGGAGGGGAATATTGACGAACTAGTAGAGTTCCAAGTTCCTTACTCCAGCTTCAATCGGATAACTCTACCTTTAATTGCAATACATATTAAAAATTTAAGATTTCACTAAGAACATAATGGCTAAAGTATCAAATAACTGTTTTTATAGTCTATTTATAGAAATATGGAAGATTGAAAGTGGACATGCCAAATACTGGAGGCAGAGAGATCTGTTAAATAAGGGCTGGGAAGGACACAGAGATTAATGAAATATTTAGAAGGCAGAATCAGTAGGACTTGCTGATTGTGTTTAAATGTCTTCATTTTTCAACATATTCATTCCTCTGGATTATATCATAAAGAAAGAACAAATTGGAGCTTGATACCTTCTAGCAGGAGCTGGCAAATTATAGTTCACTTAGTTTACTGACTGCTTTTGTAAATAGCTTGTTGGAACATAGCCATTTCCATTTGTTTACATATCCTCTCTATGGTTACTTTCATTATACTAACAACGGCAGAGCTGTAGTTGTGACAGAGACCATAGAGATGGCTGAACCAAAAATATTCACTATTTAATCCTTTATAGAAGTTGGCTGACCCATCTTATTTAGCTGTTTTTTTTTTAATGGAAACATTTCTTTTTATATTCAAGTTCAAAGAGGGAAATAGAAAGTTATAGTTAAGTGTCCAGCAAGGATAAGGAAGAAATGAGTTAGAAAAAGGAAGTGAGAGCCAACAGGACCCACTATAGATGTCAGATGTCCAAAAAGTTTGTGACTTAAGAAAGCTCCATGTATGGTATGCTTAAAATAAACAGTACTACTAAACAATACCTGTCCTTGGTATAAACCAGCATCCTGAATGGTGCTGTCTGGTTTATTCAGTGGTTCAAATGTATTGCTCATGTATTTGTTCCACAATCTCGTCTCCTTTTCATCTGGAATATTGAAGATTTTTCTTATTTCCTTTTCAATTGTATCTAAATTTAAGGAGAAAAGATATGTAAATATAGCATTTAAATATATACCACGTAGACCTAAGTGCTCACCAGCATAAAAGTCCCAAATTTAAAATACTGATATGATAGTAAGAATAGGTGAACGAGTATGTAAAAAAATATGTAAAAAAACAACAATAAACAAGATTTTTAAGACCAGGTGTGCTTTTTAAGAAAATGGTAATTATAACTCTGACAGATGATTACTTAGGGAAATTGAGATCTCAAAAGGTAGAGGAGTTCAATCATATTAACACCAAAGTATAATTTATGTCATATAGCTTTAATTTATTTTTATATATAAAATCAACATGATTTTTTGATGATATATGAGTTAGAAAATAAAGTATGACTCAGAGATATTACAAATGGAAATTTTTAATTATGACATAACTAATTTCAGAACAATTAATATTAAATTAAGTATAATTTACAATTTAAATAGTTTGTTTTAAAATATATTTTTATTGATTTCAGAGAGGTAGAGATAGAAACATCAATGATGAGAATCATCAATCAGCTGCCTTCTGCACACCCCCTACTGGGGATCAAGCCTGCAAATGAGGCATGTGCCTTTGACTGGAATCAAACCCAGGACCCTTTAGTCAGCCGGCTGACACTCTACCGACTAAACCAAATGAGCTAGGGCTGAATTAATTTTAATAGACTATACTCTTTGGATAGATTTATAGATTCTTATTGTACAGATTTTAATGTCATGATTAATGTAATATTATAGACAGTAGTCTCCCTCACCCCCGTATCTGCAGTTTTGCTTCCTGAAGTTTAAGTTACCTGTGGTCAACTGCGGTCTAATAGTATTAAATGGAAAATTCCAGAAAAATGCAATTCATAAATTTTAAATTGCATGTGTTCTGAGTAGCAGGATGAAATCTCAGCTCTCTGCTCTGTCCTACCATGGACGTGAGTCATTCCTTTGTATGGCACATCCATGCTGTATATGCTACCTGCTGCCAGTCACTCATAATGGCCCCATAGTGCAAGAATAATGATGCTGGCAATTTGGATACGTCAGAGATGTAAAAAGCTTCTTTTAAGTAAAAAGGTGACTATCTATATATATATAAAAGTCTAATATGCAAAGTGTCCCCTCGGGAGTTTAGCCAGGAGTTCGACCACTGGCTGACCACTAGGGCATGGTGTGGAACATGGTGGGCAACCAGGGGCGGTAGTGAGGTGCTAAGGGAGCAAGGAATAGAGGAGGCGGGGAACCTGCTCGACCCTGATCGCTGGCCAAGCCTAGGGACCCTACCCATGCACGACTTTCATGTACCGGGCCTCTAGTAGTACAATAAAATATTGAGACAGACAACATTCACATAACTTTTATTATAGTATATTCTTATATCTGTTCTATTAGTTATCAGTAGTTACTGTTGTTAACTAGAGGTCCGGTGCACAAAATTTTGCATGGGTAGGGTCCCTAGGCCTGGCAGGCGATCAGGGCAGATGGGGGCCTTCCTTCGTTCTGCGCCACCCTCTGGTGGTCAGCACAAGTCATAGCGAGCAGTCGAACTCCTGGTTGGTAGAACTCCTGAGGGGAAAATTTGCATATTAGCCTTTTATTAAACAGCATAATCTCTAACTGTGCCTAATTTATAAATTAAACTTTATCATAGGTATGTTTGTATATGAGGAAACAGAGTACAGATATATATCGAGTTTGGTACTATCCCTGGTTTTAGGCATCTACTTGGGGTCTTGGAACATAAGCTCCATTAATAAGGGCACACTACTGTATTATATTGAAAACTTTCAGTATTTAGTATGTAGCATTGTTTTCTTTTCCTAATGATATTCCACAAATCTTGAAATTCAAAAGTTAAGTAATTTTTTCATAATATGATAGTTATATCTGGAATTCCTAATATTTTAAGCATTCATTTTAGAAAGGTGACTGTAAGTTTATTGAAATGTCCTGGCAAAATAAAGAGGGCGGAAAAAAAAAATCACACACAATATTTTATTGGTGAAAACATTAGTATTAAAAAGCACAGGATACTGAAAGATATCCTGTGAAAAATATAGATTAAAAGTATTTTCCTGCTGTGAAATGGGTGACTGGTAAAAGTCAAATGACATATAGAAATACTTTTATTTACTTGTAAGCTAAGTGTACTTAATGATTGCTTCCAACAAGGAAAACTATACAGTGCCATAATTTATAACCTCTCTTCCTTGTTGAGGAGTTCTGCATTAAGTGTTATCTCCAATGTCTATTTACATTTTCCAAAAAGATCAAATTACTATGACTAAGCTTGTCTTCTAGTAACTTTATTTGAAAATAACTACTGTTTCTGATTTTTATTTTAAGCTGTTTTTTTTTTTTGAATTTTTTAAAAAATGTATTTTATTGATTTTTTACAGAGAGGAAAGGAGAGATAGAGAGCTAGAAACATCGATGAGAGAGAAACATCGATCAGCTGCCTCCTGCACATCTCCCACTGGGGATGTGCCCGCAACCAGGTACATGCCCTTGACCGGAACCGAACCCGGGACCTTTCAGTTCGCAGGCTGACGCTCTATCCACTGAGCCAAACCGGCTTTGGCTATTTTAATCTTTTTTTATCAAAAGTACTAAAATTTGTGATTCAATTACTAATCGTTGATTTAAAAAACTTTTCACTCAATATATTCTTGATATTATATTACAACTAGAGGCCTGGTGCACGAAATTCATGCACAGGGGAGTGTCCCTCAGCTGGGCCTGCACCCTTTCCAATCTGGGACCCCTCTGGGGATGTCTGACTGCTGGTTTAGGGTGATCCCTCTCGCAATCCAGGACCACTGGCTCCTAACCACTCACCTGCCTGCCTGCCTAATCCTCCAACTGCCCTCCCCTGCTGGCCTGGTCGCGCCCCCAACTGCCCTCCCCTGCCGGCCTACTCGCCCCCATCTGCCCTCCCCTGCTGGCCTGGTTGCACCCCCAACAGCCCTCCCCTGTAGGACTGGTTGCCCCAACTGTCCCCCCCTGCAGGCCAGTTCACCCCCAACTGCTCTCCCGTGCCAGCTTGATCTCTCCCCCAACTGTCCTCCCCTGCCGGCCAGATCTCGCCCCTACTGCCCTCCCCTGCCGGCCTGATCTTGCCACCAACTGCCCTCCCCTGCTGGCCTGATTGCCCCGAATTGCCCTCCCCTGCCAGCCTGATCGCCCTGAATTGCCCTCCCCTGCCGGCCTGATCGCCCCTAACCCCCAGCCAGCCTGATCTCACCCCTAGCCCCCTGCCAGCCTGAACTCACCCCTAATTGCCTCTGCCTTGGCCCCCACCACCATGGCTTTGTGTGGAAGGAAGTCAAATGTCCGGAAGATGGCCAGTTGACCTGGTCTAACTAGCATATTACCCTTTTATTAGTATAGATAGATATGGCCTTCAAATAGAATGAAAAATTTTACATAAATTTCAATGTACATTTATATATATATAATACACAGACAGATATATATATATATACACACACACAGATATGTAGACATATAAATATATAAAGGGAGTTAGATACACTTTTATTTGAAACTTTAATTCCCTAATCTACTCATCATAAAAGTTCTTTAATTTATAATCCTGTTATAAACAAAATACACATTTTCAAATGCTAAAGTAAAACATAAATAATTTGATGCTTTTAAAAAAGTAAAATGGCACAAATATTAACTTCATTTAATAATGTAAAGTGAACTTAGAAACCATAAATAATTCAACATTAAGCTAAGACATAGTGCATCAAGCTTGGAAATCTATAATGTTAAATACAGACCCTTAACATCATTATCATCCAGTAACATTTAACAAATAGAATTATAATTAAATTTCTAATAGCAATGATTTAACAGATCTTGCATTACCTATTGTGTCAGCCTTGCTAAATCTTCTAGTTACAACATTGTTCATGTTTCCATTTTCACAGAGCTTCAATTCTGTGAGGTATACTTCTACTTTGCAGTGCTTTACAAACATACCCTGTTCAACCACCTGAAAAAGCAAAACAAAACAGTGTCAGCTATGGCTCAATATATTTCACTGTCTCTAACAGAATACATTTTCTAAAGAGGCTTAGAAAAAGCCACAGATCTTCAATGGAAAACAATAACTAGTAAAATCTATCAATATAAAAAATATTAACTATTTGAAAAGGCAAGAAACATTTTTAGAAAATTTAATATTTAACAGAATATGAATAATATTAAACACTAATAGTATGGAAAGGTATTCTACTGATCTATGAAAATACTTAAGTACACAATGAATACATTCAGTACTTATAACAAAAAAGTTTACTCAAAATGTAAATACAACTCTGACTAAAGATACAGACATATTTATAGTTTTTAGTACTGATCTCAAGCTGAAAACTTTTTAAAATAAGTTTTATACAATTTCAGCTAGCAATAGCTGTCTCACTCTGTATGTTAAAACAAATATTTTAAAATTACTGCTGCCAAATTATTTAGCTATGCGCTATACCTGATATGTTAGTTTACCATCCTCAGATGACTTTGATCTTTAAAACGCACACTTAGTAATTCTACGCAACAAATGAAAATAAAAAAAGCTGCTTAAACATGCAAGCAATAAAGCAGAAAGATAGAAAGTATGTGTACATTAGGGTCACCTTTTTAATGAGTATATTTCCTTTTGCTCTTCTAAAGGTTAACTGTAGGGTTTCAGTCATGAATACTGTTGCTGAAAATAGTAATCAGCCTGATATGTGATACATTAGACAAATATGGAAAAAGGGAGGCTCCAAATGACTCTTGCACTCACACGCTTAGCATCACTTTAGTAAGGGATTTAAAATTTTCTCTTTCACTTGTAGGGAAACAGTTTTAGCTCAAAAACTTCAAATGTAGTTTACCTAGCACTTAATGTCCAACCCAACATAATTTTTATGATACTTTGTCATATATATTCTCCTACTGCATTTATTTATTATATTATGGGGGCGGGCACTGGTTAACAAAATTATACAGGTTTCAGGTGCACAATTCTACAGCACATCATCTGTACACTGCATTGTGTGTTCACCACACCAACTCAGGTCCCCGTCCATCCCCATGTATGTCCTCTATACCCTCCTCCAGCCTCTAAACCCACTATCACCTCACTGTAGTCCTCCTATTGCATTTCTAAAACTGGTTAACAGCCTATGCCTCTCCTTCTATTAATTAACTTAATTCATTTTACAAACCAATATGTAAATTGTCTAACTCTTAAGTTAGACAATGTTTTATCTCTTTATGCTTATTTTGAGGTTAAGAATGTAGCAAAAGATACCACATCATTTTATTTTATAAGATTGCTTGTAGCAAAGTATAAAAACTAGGAATCAAATATTACTATCAAAAAATTTGTTCTAGGACTCAATATCAGAAAAGAATCCTAAAATATATTAAGGTAGCTACTAATAATTGATGAGTTGCTATAAAAACTACAGGCCTCATTTTTATGGGGGAGAAAATGGAATGACCAACAACAGATCAGGTAATGGAATACAGAAACAGGATAAAGTAATAAAAAATATGAACATTCCTCATGATTTACATGGCGGTATATATATTTTAAATAATCATAGTTCTTTTTTTTAAAAGCAATTAATTTTAATAACACTAACAGATATTTTTCTGAAAAAACCCCTGGTGATTTAACTGTTAGAAAGTTATTATAAACAGTGAAAAAAATACCATCAGGATAATTTCAAAATCCACACTTCACTGGGATTCAGAATTTTTCTCATTTTTTTCTTCTCTCTGACAATATCATACATTACTAAAACACTCAATATCACTACTTGGAATACTATGAATATATTTATAAGATATTACAGTACTTCTAAAGTAGTGTATTAAAAAGCTATTCTTGTTTGGGATGATAAAAAATTTTGGAAATAGTGGTGATGGTTGCATAACATCCTGATTGTAATTACTGCCACTGACTTTTGTACTTAAAATGGCAAGTTTTAGGTTTCACATACTTTATAAAAAAAAAAAACTTAAAGGAAACAAAAAAAGCTGTTCTTTTAAAAAAATATTTCTGTCTTCCAACTATTTCTGATTTAAAAGAACCATACTATATGAATGATTATAGCACTTCAGCACAGAAAATTATCATATTTATGTATTCATGTTATGATCATATGTAAATTATTTGTTTATATAACATAGCTTTTATTTTTATTTATATAAAATTTCCTACGTTCATTAAGAATGTCTGCACTGAAAATAATCATTTAAAATGGTGGCTATGAAGACTAACAGAAAGAAGCAGGCTTACAAAAACAGGTTATAAAGTTATATTTATCTATTATTATAACCATTAAAACATACATTTGAAATTCAAGCCTGGAAGGTTACTATTCAAAAATAATAGTTATGTTTCAGAATTAGAGGTGACAATTAAAATAGTTTGTTTTCTAAGTAAATTATCCTATAAAATAAAAGGCTAATATGCAAATTGACTGAAAGGTGGAATGACCGGTTGCTATGATGTGCACTGACCACCAGGGGGCATAAGCTCAATGTAGGAGCTGACCCATGGTGGTCAGTGTGCTCCCACAAGGGGAGTGCCGCTCAGCTAGAAGCCCTGAGCCAGGCTCATGGCTGGCGAACGCAGCAGTGGTGGCGGGAACCTCTCCCACCTCCACGGCAGCACTACGGATGCCTGACTGCCAGCTTAAGCCATCAGTTGGACATCCCCCAAGGGCTCCCAGACTGCAAAAGGGTGCAGGTCGGGCTGAGGGAGCCCCCGCCCCCCTCCCCTGAGTGCACAAATTTCATGCACCGGACCTCTAGTGTTGTTATAAATAAGGAGCAAGCACAAGGTAAAATCTGGCTCCTTGTCCAAAATATAAGACTTATGATAGCTATATAAAAGTATTTCTGCCCTGGCCAGGTGCTCAGTTGTTGGAGTATCATCCCATACACTAAAAGTTTGCAGGTTCCATCCCCAGTAGCAGTGAGTACATGAGGCAACTGATTAATGTTTCTCTTTCACATCAATGTTTCTTTCTCCTCCTCTTTTCCTCCCCCGTGCTTTCTCTCTCTTTAAAATCAATCAAAACATCTTTGGGTGAGGATTAAAAACTACATATTTCCATTAATTCAAGGCCACATAGAAGGTAAAGCCTCTTTACTGAGTTTGTGAGGGAAATACAAGTTTATGCTGAATTAAATAAATATAAATTCCATTTGTTCATCTTGCTGTGAATATTAGAAAACATTTTGTATAAAGCCATGAAATATATTTAATAAACTTAATGTATGAAAGTTTACAGAAACTTTATTTCATTCCAAATAATGCCTTCTTACCCCCTCTGGAAACAGAAAGTAATTTCTAAAGAAATCCATTACTCAACAACAATTTGGTAACACTAGGCCTAATGGACACATTTACTATTTTTGAGGAGTGAGCTACCTTCATTTTTGTAGCATTTACTAATAAGCACCTATACTTAGTGCTAGGTGTCACAGGTGAATTAGACTTAGGCTCTGGAGTCAGAGTGAGAATACCTAGTGGTAAAGACAGACAAGTAGAGCAGTATAACACAAAGATGAAATCATACTAGTAGCTGTTAATACTAACAAATGCTACATGTTATTTTCTATCTACAAATATTTAAGGATGCGTCTTTTCAAAAATGTAATACCATTATCACAACTAACATAATTTAAATGAATCCCTTAGTACCAATTATCTAGTCAATGTTCAAATTGTCTCAAAATTTCTTATTTTTAATACATTGTTTGAATCAGATCCCAAATAAAATTGACATATTACAATTAATAAAGTCTCTTCAATATATTTTAACTGAAACTTTGTCTATTTTTTCATTTTTGCAATATTTACTAACTACTTCATAAATGTTGAGATGTATTCTAAATAAGATGCAAATAATATTTAACTACCCCCTTTCTTGGGATGTTGGTAAGCATAAATTAATCAGTGCCTCGATTGAAGTGGGAAAACTATGACCTACAAGCTAAATCTGACTCACCATCTATTTTTAACATTTTACTGGAACACAGCCATACTCATTCATTTATGTATCATCTATGGCTGCTTTTGCACCCAAAACAGCAGAGATGAGTAGGTTCCACAGAGACCATTTTGGCTCGCAAAGCTAAAAATATTTACTATCTAGCCCTTTACAGAAAATGGTGACTCCTATGGCCATTAATTCATTAGGTCTTTTAAAAATTTGCTCAGTAATGTTTTGTATTTTTCAGTAGAAAATCAGTTTTTGTTGGTTTATTTCTAAGAAGTCTGATGCTACAAGCATTATTTTAAAATTCAACTTTATTTGCTACTGATATGTAACTGACTTTTATATACTGACCTTATATCCAGCTATCTTGCTAAACTTAATTAATTCTAATTATCATTATAATTTTTTTGAAATTTTCAACATATAAAATGTCTTACATTTTTATTTTTTATGTTTTAACCTTTATTCTTTCAGTTCTTTTCCTTTGATCACCAAACTGGCTAAAACCTCTAATATAGTTATCCTTGTCTTGTCCCTGATCTGAGAGAGTTTTGAATATTTTACCAATAGGTACATTTGCATAGCTTCTGCTCCTAGCTTTCTATTTCTATGAGTTTAAAAAAAAATCATACATGAATATTGAATTTTATCAAATGCTTTTTCTGTATCTATTGAGATTATTTTTCTTCTTTATTCAGCTGATACCAAAATTGTAAGTGATTTTCAAAATTAAATCAAAATTGCATTTAAAAATCCAGCTTATCCATTTTTATTTGCCCTTTTTACTTATTGCTGGATTTGCTTTGCTAATATAGTGTTTAGAAATTATCCATGTACACGAGTAAGACTAGCCTGTAATGATTTTTTTATAATGCCCTTCAAGGTTTTGTGTCAAATTTATGCTAGCCACAAAATAAGTTAGGAAGTATGCCTTCTATTTTTGGAAAAGTTTGAATTAGATTGGTATATTTCTTCTTTAAATATTTGATAG